CTCGACTTACTTTTCAAACATAGTTCTAAGAACATCTTGGACAGCTGGTGGAATATCACACTCAGCTATAGAATAATAATAGTAAATAATTATAATTTTTTTTTATCAAATTTAATATTAATGTACATATGATAAGTGGATTTCTTACATGAACTTAGCAAATCATCTAACGAATTATATTTTTGTATAGCATTTAATCCGAATAGCATTTGTACAAAAATAACACCGAGATACCAAATATCACTCTTTCTGCAATATAAACACTGTTGATTAGTCTTAAACAAATATATATAATGTATATATTACAAACTTACCTCGAATATACATTAGGTCTTGCTTCGTGTTCGGGTGAAATCCTGATCAAATGATCCGCAACAAAAATGAGAGCCGATGCATTATAAATTGGACACGTTATAATATGCCATACCATTTTTTACACGGTTCTTTGCTTGAATATTTAACAAATGGAAATTCCTTATGCATATCTAATATTATGAAGCTAAAAAATAAGCACTAATAAACCATTAAGATTATATGTATTGTTATTTTTTGAGACATTACCCAATAGCTTCCTGTGATAACTAATATCCGCTAGCTTAGCTACATATTCATCCTTTCCAGGAATTTCGGTAAACAGTATGTTTGAGGCTTTTATATCTTCATGTAAAAATATTTTAATGAATTGTTAAGCAATTTAAAAATATTTTTTTGCTTAAATACTAAAATTAGGAGTAGACCGACCTTTATGCGCAAAGCTGTTAGCATGTATATAATCTAATGCATCTAGTAATTGCCTCATATATTCTCTCGCTAATGGTAAGCGAACAACACCACATTTTTTTAATAAATCAACCATTGTGCCTCCACATGAATATTCCATGAGAATATGCAAATTCCACACCGATTCACATCTCTCAAGCTCGGATTCATATACAGTGACTAAATTCGAATGACGAAGCTTTTTAATACGATCAAGATCCTTCTCAATATCTTCTAACTAAAGGAAAATGTTCAATAAGTTAAATAGCTGATATGAACAACATTTATTATCTATGATAATGTGTATGATAAGATAGAAGATTTCCCATAATAAATACCTTCTCCTTGCCGGCCAGCTCTAAGTAGTGCGGTTCAGAAATTTCAATATCTTTCAGAATTAAAACATAACGGTCCTTTAGAGCCACATCTTTAATCTGGACGTTAACTGCCTGAACCATATATGTTGACCCAACTATTCCTAATATATTCACAAACGGTAAACAGGAATTGTGAAACATAATGAAGGGAACGAAGCTAATAAATTACAAAGTATATATACCTTTGCCTACTAGTGGCCCAAGAATTACGGACTTAAAAGGAACCTAAAGTGTTATACTATATTTAATATACTGTTTACTCCGTTGTAAATTATAACGTGCACATATCATTATAAATACCGATGAATCTCCAGGATCCAGCACGATTTTTCTATCAAAGTTAACAGTTTTAAACACTGAAAATGCGTCCGTTAATGGATTCGCATCTTTAGCTTTCAAGGTCTTTCTTTTTTGTTTTTCTTCTTCGACCTTTGCCCTTAGACGTTGTTCCTCCTCATGAATTTTTTGAAGTAATAACAAGTTCTCTGCCGTTCGTTCTTGCTCTTCAGTTTGACGTGCACGATCCATTTCTTCCATTGCCTTTTCTTGTTCAGCCTAATAAAAAATATTACATAAATTCATTTTCATGATAATATATAGGATAATATATAAGGATGGGCCACTGCACGGGCTGCGCAATAATTCATTGTACCAGTGTTGGTCTATGACCTGTTATGACCTATTGACTAATTATAAGTATGACCAGTTATGACTTATAAATTTACTATTGCATTATGTCCATCTTGGTCATATAAAAGTTGGATATGACCTAAAATTGGCCAACACTGCGCTGCACGCCTGCAGAATTTTTGAGAGATTGCGCAGTATAATTTTTGTAATTCAGACCAGCCGGTATATAATTATGGTCAGCTCGTATAATATTGCAATAGATTCAAAAGATTCTCGATTTGCCCATCCATAATAGTATATTTAAAAAAAAACCATGTATAAAACAAACCTTTGTTATTTTTTCATTTCGACTTAACATTTGCTCATGAAAAGATTGTTTAACCAAAACTTTAACGCCATTGTTATTCGTAGTTATAAACTCTTGAACGTACTGAGCAATATTGAAAACCATCTCTTGTCCAAGATTATCTTTAATAAGTCGAGATATATGTCCTCGAACTTTAATCAATTGTTCATCTGAAAGACCGCGTGCATTTTCAATTTTTATATCTGGTGCTGAACGTGGATATGTTTTCGGAAATCTAAAATTATAATGATCAATTATTGTTTTCTAGTATAATAGTGAGCATATTGATTACTAAACACAACTCACTTAACGTGCAAGTCTACTGATACATGCTCCTTCAGTTCTTCTTCATGAGGTAAAAGATGAAGTAGGAACTCATGACATGTCGGTGCGACCTAATACGAAAACTTTAAATTTATTCAGCAATGAGATCCAAAATCAAGCAATTTTAATAAAGGGATCAAACTCCACCTTCCATGCTGAAGGCGCAACCACAGGCACGTAATCTTCCATGTAAATTGCTAAGAGTGTAAAAAGGGATAATTATCAATGCTAGAACGAAATAAATTCACCTCTACAGACTTTTCACCTAATCACCAAACAAAACTTACCTTTCAAAGCTTCAATTTCATTTTCCTGTGTTTCCTAGCAAGTAAAAGCCAAATATATAATGTCAACGTGATTAAAAAAATATGGCAAAGATTAGTATGTAACCATTAATTACCTTGTCTTCATTAGACCCAAATCGAGAAGCTAGCAGAGATCGTTGTTTTTTTGATTTTACCATGAAGGGCAAATATGTTATGGCTCACTGCATGACTCGTATGATACTCTAGACTTGAAAGTCACGATAAATATTAAAACAAAGATTGTACGTAGGATTTGACTCTGTAAAGCCGTTTATGTAATAGAATAAATTTGTACGTTTCTTTTGCGACCCATGGTGCCACCAATGAAAACGATCTGTTGGCTATTTGGATCACATGTTAATTATCTGAAATAGGGCAATTAACGCTAAGCAATGCCTGACTGATATCATGCATGGCTTTTGCTTTACATCAGTGCCCAACACCTATCTGCTATCTAGTTAAGTACGTACGAACATGCTTTATTACGTACAAGGCTGGCTTGCCTTGGCAAAAGTCGCTGGAATTTCAATAATCACATGATCTAAATGAATGTTGAACGATTATCTAATACTACGTGAGATATAGATTTAGGATATCGATTTCGATATTATCAGTTATTTTGACCATATGTTAGCTTTTTTAGTACTCACGTACGTACGTACGTACGTATGTACTATGTACATTCAATTCTTTAATACGTAAAATTAATTTCATGTCTAAATGTAGTGTGAGCCGACTAAATCATCGACCTAATATCATATGCAGAATATGCGACATATTTCTACGTAGTCAACATTCTCAAGCATCTACAAAGGGTTCAATAAAGAACCCGATTGGTCGATTTGCTTCAATCTGAAATTCATTGTCAAAAATTAACTGATATGAACGATGGAATTTTCTGGCTTGGTTATTGTTACGAACATTGTTGGTACAATATGGACATGGACAATATAGACCAATGAACATGGATATTTATGAACTATGTTCATATTGTCCAAATTTTTTATTGGACATAGACATTTAGTCCAAATAAAAATCGGATGGTTACTATTTCGAAATATTCCGAATAGAAATCATTGAACATAAAATACGGGCAAAGTTTCGAAAGAAACTGATCATCTTTATTCCGTGCAGGATATTGGAGAAATCCATAAATTGCCCGTCACTACACCAAAATACTTTAAAAAATTTTTGAACATTAATTAATATACAAATATGGACATGGACACTATTTGGATTAGTTCATGTCCAAATAAAATTTATATTGGACATAGTCCAAATAACAACACTGATTACTAACATAGGATAAAGATAAGTATATTCAATATAGGTGGATATGATTATCATTCATATATATGAGTGTTGCCGAAAGAAATCGCACACATATCTAATTATAAACCTTTTGTAAAGAACATTAACTATATTATTGATAAATTAGTATATTGCCTTTGTTTATATCAAAATATAATTAATTTATTTTAAAACAAAATACTTTGCTAATTAATAACATATTGTCCTTATTGCTAGAACCCCCAAAATCTCACCCTAACTAAATTTAGACCTACTGTATATCTTTACACTATAGTTCAGGTTCCCAACCCTAAATTTTACTACTTAAAAAAACTTTTAAAACATATATGTGGTGTTGAACACCATTGGTGTGATTTATTGCTGTTATACTATAAAAACGGCGACGTTTTGTGGGCTGGAGCTCTAGTCGTATAATTATTCGTCTTAATCAGAATTACTATAGATAATAAAGGTAGCATTTATTAGAAGTTAGTTAGCGAAATAACGAGCATGGCCCAAATTAGGCCTAATTTAGGGCGAAATTCGTAATGACATTATTTTGAAAATATACAGTTAAAAGTCTGCTATTGTATATTAAATCAAGATTTCGGTATCCAAACATTAAACCTAATTTTGGTTCAATTTCTGGATAATGAACCTCCAGCCAAAGAATATCCTCATCTATGTAACTTTTTCGTGCCTACTAGGCACGTATTTTTTAATTTAGGTGATTGAGTATATTATCCTATTTAATCTTAAATATCAAAAACAGTGCGTAAAATAAAGGTGCCATTCTAAAATTAGTGAAAGTTATGTATCTGGTTATGTTGACATTTTTAAGGCATTAATAGGAAAAAAAATTAAAATGTCGATACAGTGAGTTATACTGACTTTTTATATCAAAAATTTGAAAAAAAATGTCGGTATAGAAAGGTTTTGCTATGAAGTCGTTAAAACAGATGCCAGTATAAGTGGACTACATAGATTATATTAAAAGCCAACATTATATTTTAACAGGTATCCAAACGTTGAACCTAATTTAGGTTCGATTCTGGTTATTGAACCTAAAATTTGGGTCAAGGAGCCAGACATTCATAAAATTCCGTAGAGTATGACAAACTATTCTATTAGTAATAAGACGGCGGCGTTTCATAGGGCTGGAGCCTTACTTATGAGGTGCTTAAACTTGAAAATGAAATCATATCAAACTAATCTATATGCATTTCATTAAATAGCGATAGTTTATATATAGTAAAAATTTACTCTATTAGCGAAAATTTACCGATAAAGTATAACTACCGCTGCCAGTTATATTACCGCCTGTACATATCTAACTACACAGGATGTAACTGGTTTATTGTTACCTAATTGTAAGTAATTAATATGCACGTGAACAAATATATGCTCCAATTTATAATAATTATTAAACAGTTAACATAAGAAAAATTTATGCAATAAGCATTTCTTTAATTTGATTGAGTTAAGGAAGTTCAGCAAGAA